TGCTTTGCCAAGCTTGTTTCAAGTAGGTGCTTTAGACCACTGAGCCATCTCTCCAGCCCCTTGAGCTCACTTTGTAGCCCAGGCTGGCCTCGAACTCACAGCGATCCTCCTGCTCAACCTACCAAGTGCTGGGATGACAGGCGTGTGCCACCACACCAAGATGCGATTCTTTTATTCTTTTGTGGCCGGCTTGGCCCACCCTGGGGGCAGGGCTGGCACAGCATGTGGTGCTGGGAATCCAACCGTGGTCCCTGCACGCTAACCTAAGCTTGACTACGCACATTTGGACCTCTGTGTTATCATCTCATGTGTCTTAAATCAAATTCTTCATCTACACCCAACTCCAAAAACTAGCGCTTGCCTCCTTAGCTGCCTGCCACTTCTCTTTTGGACAGATACCATAGAAACATAGATGAGACAAAGGCCTAATGTCCCGAGCGGGCAGGGAGCAATAGGCAGAGCCCAGGGAGAGCTGCTGTCTCTTATAAGTTCTGGAAAGCTGGGACTCAAGGCTGCAGACAGCAACTCCTCCTGCTGGTGCCGTTTGTTTACTCCCTTGCCTGGGATGTTAATGGCTAGCACTGTGCACGCTTAGAGTGAGGTAAAAGCTCAAGTCAATAGGGAGAGTAGGGGGTCTGGGGAGATGGCTCAGTGGAATAAGTGCTTCCCTGGCAAGCACACGGGCCTGAGTTCAACCCCTGGCTCCGCAAAAAAAAAAAAAAAAAAAAAAAACAGGGAGAGTAGTTTGTGTTCATCAAAGTAGTTATGCACCTTCCTTAGCCTGCCTTGAGCCCTCTGTAAAAGCGAGATGCCTCTGAGGCTCTGGGCTCACTTGGAGAGAGACTGATCTCAGGGAGACCTCTGAAGTTCTTCTCGGGTCTTCTCATCGTTTCTTTCGGCACCGACTCACAACACACAAGATACAGTAACAGTTCCAACTTCACCAGTCACACTGGTGCGACTTCCAGGCAGCGCTCCCTCCTTAGCGTGCTTTGGGCATTTTCTTTAAATTTTCCTCGTAGGGCCACGGGTTGAGGCTGGGCCAGTGCTCTACGACACAGCTACACCTGCGGCCCGGGACACTCGTTTCTTCTCTCCAGCATTATTTTCCGGGACCGGCGAGGGGCTCGGGGCTGCTGGGCCGACGCCATCCACCTGCAGTCGCACATCTCGCTGTGACAGGCGGGACGTGAACGCGCACCGCGGCCGAGCTCCGACGGCGCAGCCCCGACAGCCAGCACCGCGCGGCCCTGCTCAGGAGGCGGCCAAGTCTCCGCCCTCGCCTTCCGGCCCCTTCGGTCCCTCCTGCACGCGCTGGACAGCGCGGAGCCTGCAGCACCGGCGTCGCGGGAGGGGTGGCGACAGGACGGGACCTCCGGCCCTTCGCCCTGGAAGCTCCCCAGGGAAACCCCGCACCGAAGCGCGACCCAGCGCGACCTGGCGGGTCCAGGGCCGCCGGCGGCCCAGACTGCACGGGCTGGGGCCCTCTGCCGAGCCCGCCTCGGGACGTGCCCGCAGCACGCGCAGGGGCAGGAGGGAGCCCGCGCCCACTCACCCGCGCGCGGCCGCA